GGGGCCGCATCGAAATTGTAGAATCTAAAAAAAAAAAATACCTGTATGTAAATCAGGCTTGTCAACCTATGTAAAATATGTGTTTAAAAAAAAAATAGAAGTATAAAAAAAATGTAAATATAAATTTTACATAGCACACTACGCTGCTATGGACATCATAAATTACTGTTCAGTATTCAGTGCTTTTGTTGCACTTTTCAGACAATGTTAGTTTTACTGTCAAAACTGTTTTAATACAATGTTATATTTTGTGAAATGTAAATTTAACAAACCAGAGAAATAAAGACTACAAACAGAATCTAAAATTAAGTAAAATTGTAAGTTTGAGGATGTTTTGCGTCATGATTTTTTTTTTTGAGGAGGGGGGCCACAAAAGGATTCACCCTACACAAGGGGGCCTCCTGCTGAAAAAGTTTGAGAACCACTGCACTAGCGAGTAGGTCAACTGAGAATGAGATTTAATTCAGATTCAATTTTAAGTATGTTTAGTACTTTGATTTGGTGTGTGACACAGTTTGTTTCGCTGGTCTGAGCAGAAGCAAATCCAGACCAGCAAACTTTGTTACATGTCTGAACATGAAAATGAAATCTGGTTTTTCCCTCTTGTAGGATGACTGGAATGTGTAAATCAAACTCATTTCCTTAAGCAGCATTTGAGTCTGCGTATGACGCACTCAGCCTCATGTAACGCCCCTGTAACAAGGGTACTCCTTTGTTACCCAACAGCGGAGAAACTTTTCCCATGCAAATGCATCAGGGTTGCTCGGTGATGGTGCCATGAAATTCAGGCATTGGTAACCAGTAGATACCATGTTTCTAGTGGTTTTCAGGATCAGCTGCTACCTTGTTTTAGCAAGTATTACAAGTTTGGTAAGAGAAAAAATAGTGTTTCATTCTTTTGGAAGAATTCCTACCATTGTATAAGGACATAAGAAATTTACAAACGAGAGGAGGCCATTCGGCCCTTCAAGCTCGTTTGGGGAGAACTTAACTAATAGCTCAGAGTTGTTAACGTCATATCTAGCTCTGATTTAAAGGAACCCCAGGTTTTAGCTTGCACTACACTAGCAGGAAGACTATTCCATACTCTAACTACACACTGTGTAAAGAAGTGCGTTCTCAAATGCAGTTTAAAATGTTCTCCCATTAATTTCCACCTATGGCCACGAGTTCTAGTATTTAAACTAATATTGAAATAGCCATTTGGCTGAACAGCATCCAGACCTGTTAGAATCTTATACACCTGGATCATGTCCCCCCTTAGTCTCTTTTGCTTGAGCGCTAAGACCAGGAATCATTCTCGTAGCCCTGCGTTGCACCCTTTCCAAGGCAGCAATGTCCTCCTTAAGGTATGGTGATCAAACTTGCACACAATATTCTAGGTGTGGTCTTACCAGGGAATTGTACAATCTTAGCATCACCTCTCTTGACTTAAACTCCACACACCTAGAGATGTAACCCAACATCCTATTGGCTTTTTTTAATTGCTTCCCCACACTGGCGAGAGTGGGACATGGAAGCATCAACATACACGCTGAATGTGTATAAACATATTCAGATGAGTAGTGGTTAATAGTGTAGTCGTTCATCACCCCAAGCAGGTCGCAACCACTACTAGCTGATTGTTTTGTTTTGTGTTTTGTTTTTAACTAGAATTACCTCCCTGTTATTCCAGCTGAAAAACAGCTGATCCTGTAGTAAAATTCCACAAAATAAGCCTGGGAGCATTTGGCTCTTCATCGAACGAACACTGTAGCTACCAGGCTACGAAGGGCCATGGTTTGTTGTAGAGGTATATAGTACTGATGGCTTTAGCAGAACAGTCAGGGGTGGAGAGATGTCCAGAAGGCCCTGTAACCATGGTGACCATACGGGATCGTCAATCACTTAGGAGTCGCTGGCATTGTGCCAGCAATCAATGGGGGGGGGGGGGGCTGAGCAATAAGGTCAGCCTAAAATGACAAGAGGGAATGCTTGGGGGGTTGTGGGGGGGTCATAGAGTGCAGCAGAGGCTGTGAAATGGGTTAGTATAGGTGGGATGAAAGCTAATCTTTACCAAGCTGTAATTCTCACTCTCACTGGTGATGACCTCTTTCTGCTTCCTGCAATGGTCTGGGTTTATTTAGCAGCTTCCCCATGTAATCACTGGTGCATTGTCCACCTTATTAAGTTACTGTAGGCACACGCGCCAGCTGGTGCACCCTCAACGCGTTCTAATCTCACTCTGAGAGGATTCGGATGCGCTCTTCTGCGTCCCTGCATTGGTCTTACTCTCCTCCCATGGGGGACATCTTTAGCTTTGGGATTGGCAGGACGAAAACGGCTGATAGCATGTTGAGCTGAAGCACAGGTGACGCCCGTCGTGAAAAGATATTGAAAACAATCCATATAAAAGCAGCTTAACACAACTAAATTGCACTGACTATTGTGTAAATACTACCATGTTTTGTGCTGGTTTTCTAATTCAGTCTTAAGTTTGCAATAAATTTATTTAAGGTAAAATTTTCTAAGCAGGTAGTGGTGGTATGTACAACATGGTACTGAAATAAATCAAAATCCCTAGTTTTAAATCAATTAAAAATGGCTTTTGCTGAGTAAATAGCACACCTCTGTTCTTTTCCAGAAGGTACTGTGTTTGAGGGTTTGCTTGCTGTGAGCCTGGTCTTTCTCCTCAGATGACCAGTCATTTAGTTTTATCAGCTAATTGAATGATTTCTGTTAGATACTTCCTTAATTTCCAATCTTTGTTCTTTGGACAGAGATATTGTTACAGAGAGGGAATTCATGTACACCTGGGTTCAGGGGTCGGTCATCTGGGTTTTTGCATAGACCAAGTAAAGAAAACTCAGTCGTATATAGTGACTGAGATTAAGGATCAGATCTAAATGAAGTGGCATCCTGCACTGGGTCTCCTCTGCCTTGTGCCACATGCTGCCTCAAGTTGGCTTCAGCCCCCGGCCACCCTGTACTGGATAAATGTTTGGAAGACGGATGACTGCTTATTACATGACATCACCACGACCTCCATTTAGTTATCCATATGCCCTACCCTTCCCTGGATAAAACATGTGGCTGATTCTCTTCGTATACATGGTCTCCAAATGCCTCGACCTCGCCCATCTGTCACCCCTTAGCCTTCTGAGTGCTTCAGAGAGTGGAAGGGGGCTATCAGATGTTCGGTTCCCTGGTGTACAGAACTCCATCTCCCAGGAGAAGGAGATATTTTACTTGACGAGGATTTCTTGGATCGTGTCCATGTTTTTGAAGTACGGTCATTTTTCAGCCCCGCTGCTCTGTCCCCTGAGTGTTTTGAAGTCACTGCTGTAGCCCTCAAGAAGGAACTGAAATACGATGCAAGGGACCCCTGTGCTTAAAACATGTCTGTGTGATTAAATTACATCATGTTGGTTTCAAAGGATTTTAATGACAATGTTTTGACCAATAAAATAGTATCTAGCTACAGCCCATACTACAATTTGACAAGTCTGCCCATAATGGGAGAGAAAGGGGATGACATTCAGTGGCACAGACTAAAGGCTGGGCGATGTAGACAATATATCAGCTTATCGTAATATGACTCATAAAATTTATATAAGCAAATGTGTAACTTTAACTGTCAATAGGAAACTCCCTCAGAGTAAACTTTGTGTTGGCCAAGAAAGTGACAGTTCAGCAGCCACAATATATTTTTAAAAAGGAGATATTGTGGATTCACGTTGGTGGTCTGGCAATACTAATTTAAAGGTGCGACACACGACAGGCTGGTACTGTGTATTCTATGCCCGAAAACTTGTCAATTAAAACTGGACATAATATTTCACTACCTGCAGCATTGCAATCCAGTAGAACATACGGAATGCAAGTGCGTGCAGTCACAGACAGCTGCAGGTTTGCATTCCAGTTTCAATCTAAAGAAGTATGGGACAAATCACATTACGTTTTGGATGAAAACATGGCATTTTATTTTTCATTACGGGATGGGTGACAACTCTACCAGCAACCTCCTAAAAAATTGAGACAAAATATTTTGCCAAATTGCCCAACCCTACCCAGATGCTAGGGGTAAAAGGATTAGGCCAACCTGGGGGGGAGGCCCAGCCGTGTCTTTGGGCTGGCCTGGCACTGTGGTAGGTAACTAACCCCGGGGCAGATGTTAATGCCCCAAGTTTGACGTAATATTTGAAATTAGCATGATTAGTCTATTGAGATTCCTTTCAATATAGCAAACTGTCCTGGGAAACTTGTGATCTGAAAACAGGATTTTTTACAATGGAAGATAGATTGAATAATTTGATGGTTATACCTTGGTATGTGACGTCGTCAAGAGGCTGGAATTCTGATCACGGCGCCGTTTCGTGTTTCTCAGAGGCCAATTCTAGCACCTTCTCTAAAGCATGTAAAACATGAAACCCAATGTTTGGAGATGGTGCTTAGTGTGCAGAAATTTATAGTGTATAGCTGCATCAACAACTGTCAAAATCCTTTGTCATCCTCTCCTGTAACCATGTGCTGGAGATTGATGCAGACACTTAAACATTATACTTTTACTATTTTTCACAAATATAGCGATGCAGCACAAGATTTACTACACTTACAGGTAATGCGCTTGATAATCTTTGCCTGGTGACCTTTGCACTTGTCGGTACTATGCAAAGAACCAGGTTTAATGAAACGGAAGGAATTTGCACACAGTCAAATTTTCTTTCTTTTGTTGTCGTTCTTTTGTTCAGTTCTGTAGTGAGCAAATATTTGACTGTGAAATATTTGTGTAACAGCAGGTAAGGTTTTTTTGTGATACGCTAAATTAATTTTTAACCTTTTAGTGTTGTACTGCTTCCAATCCCTCATTTGCAAAATGAAAACCGATAACGTTTGGCCAGTGTCAAAATCTGGATGGGAGTGTGGGTCACCTATGTTCATACGGCAGATCTGGGACTGACCCCAGAGCTCACTTTGGTGTCTGATCTATCTCGTTTCACAAAAGACCACTGAAACATCCATCCCACAGAATAAATATTTATTCACTAAGTCAGCAACAGGTAAAGGCACGTAAAAAAAATATATCTCTTCTCCCAGTGAAATATAAAGTACCTTCATAGAACAAATAACCAGAGAGGAAGAGCCTGGTTGTCTGAGTACACTTGATACGTTTTTTGTCTGGTTTAAATATAATAAAATACATGGAGACACAAAGGTGCATTTCACAATACTCAGCTTGAAGTATGTGGAGATCGGGGGGGGGGTTGGGGACCTAAATGCTGAGGACAGTCTGCAGCAATACGGACCGAGAAAGTGGCAGCTGGACGCCTTAAGCCCACTGCTGCAGAGTGTATGACAGTAACACATCTGCCGCTGAAATAGCTGAGGTTAGTTGCTCAACAATTTACCATTTACCACAAGCACCTACTTGTATCCGTTTTACTAGTAGCATTTCTTGAAACCGTGTGACAATTATCCTTATCATTCTGCTCTAAGCCTGGGAGGAGGCAAAACAGCAGAGTCCCTGTGCTCTGTTTGAACTTGTGAAATGCAAATGTTGTTTTTTTTTTTTTTTAAATAACTTCTCCTTTAGTCCCTAAGATTGTATGCTTCTGGTGGTTAGACGTCCCTCCCCTCTGCTCGCGAAACTGAGAGAGCGGTACAGCTTCACATATGATGGTGCAACACAGTACTATGGGTCACACGCCAGAAATATCCATACAAACGTGCACAAACAGACACAAATGCAGGGCCACTGCAGGATGGAGGTTGTACCTGTGCGAGGAAACGGGGTCCTGTGCAGATTGCAAATTGCTGTTGCGTTACATTCAACAGGAGGCCAGACTAAAACTCAGCTTCACACGTATGCAATTTCCGTAAAATAATTTCAGCAATCCAGTGCATGAAAGGCCTGTGACATTTACATCCGAAAAGAAGGAAAGACTCTTTAATGGTCTTTAGTTACCAACAGGACACAGTGGATAAACTGGGCTTTTGTTGTTATACAAAAAAAAAATATTACAAGCCAGCCTCGCCCTCTAGTTTCTTCTTTAAGGCTTTCCCCAAAAGTGACCCATCTTCCTCTCCCAGTGCTCCCTACAAGCAGTGATGTCACACTCAGCAATAAGCAGCAGGCAAGGCATCCAAGAATTGGTCCAAGGAACAGGATGAGCTAATGTGCACTTTAAAGAAGCCTGTTGGTCTTGTTGCCGGACTTCTGACCGGGTTCCAATACATGGTCCAGCTCACACTAAACAGGAGGCTGAAGATCAACCAGTTTATTATTTTAATAGCTTAGACTTAATCACTAACTAGCTATGGATCTCGAAATTAAACCATAAACTGAGGCAGTAGTTTGTCTGTGAACTCAATACCAACATTTTCAAGCCCACTTTTGCATAAAGGATATCAGGGGAAATGTATGTAGATGTAGGAACAAAAAAAAAAAAAAACAAAAACTGTTTTTCAGTTCCTACGGACAGTGAAAACAAAACAGTGTGTCCCATGTACAGTGACTAATGCCCATTTTAACCAGTTTCTCGGCAAACCAGAAATATACTTAAGATCCTAAATGACATGCATCATGAAAATAACTCAACGGTTCATTTAAAAATACATTTAAAAAAAAAAGCAAAAAATGCATGAGAGTAATAAGCACATCATGTCTCCCTCTGTGACTGTACTTAAAGGTTTTACTGTACTGCCTTATCAAGGTTCAACAAAAGCTCTCTGTGAACCTTTTTAAATAATCAAGAATCTAAGAGCCTGCAAGTCGCCTCTTCTTTAGTTTGACAGCAAAAAATGTATCCTTATGCTGACATTTATGAACTATGCTCACAATATCACAGAATGTAGGTATCAGGTGATTCTGTGCACTGCGTATAACCTTTAAACTAGATGTTCTTATTCGCTACAGCCATAAAGCACGAACTTGCTTGCGTGCGCAATATTCGGCATTTTGATTTTTATTTATCAGGGCTACAGTCCCTTAAACTTTCTAGCTCCATTAAGTGTAAATATTTATATACCGTGTGAATATTACCTGGAACAGTGATTCAGGATTTGAAGCAGGACCCTGCTGTCTTCGTCTTGCATTCTTGGCCACGGTCATACCACTGGGGGTCACGACGAACATACTGACAAGGTCCACGCAGTATAGAGTTTGCGTTCACTCCAGATGCAAGGTTAAAGCAAGCTAAAACAGTCAGATTCAGACTCGAGCCTACAAGGTGAATTCAAGATTTTCAGGATACCATTGCAGGAAAGGTGGAAATCTCTGGAAATTCTAACAATGCTTTGGAAGCATCTTCGCAGTGAGGGAAAAGGCTGGAGTGCTTCTACAGAGAGAATCTCGCCTCCTTTTATGTGAGAGGCAGTAATAGTTTGTTCCATTTCGGGATGCTTCTTTGATTCATCATCAGCACGTGTGTCTGCTAGGCATTCTGACAGAACCCACTAGAGCATATTACACCACACAAAACACTATGTAACACCAATTATTAGCAAAGGAGGCAGTAGAGTCCCCTTTGTTGTAACACGTACATGGTTTTCTCATCGTTTCGTCAGCGGGAGGTTGTGAAATTTCAGCTTGCTTTCTCCTCCTTTTTGCTGTTCTTGCTTCTCAGAGATAGGTTTCTGTGTTGGCGACGAGACCTCCATTTTGCTCTTCACTGTCCTTTGGGGTTTCCTCCGCTTCAGACTGCGCTTGGGGGCTGCTGGGCTGCTTGTCTTCCAGGTCCTTCTCCATTTCTGTCTCATTCTCCCCCTGCTGCTCTTTCTCCGCCTCTTTGCTTCTCTGCTGCTCATCCTCCGCCGGCTTGTTGAGCTGCTCCGTCTCCGTCTCTGCCACGGCCATCTCCAGCTTAGCTTCTGAAACCTGTGGGCTCTTCTTGATGCAAAAGAAGTTGCACGTGGCGAGCACTATGGCAGACAGGACCACCTCAGTGCCAGCCAACAAGAAGACGAACATATATTTATGGGTGTGATCAAGCAAACGGCCTGCAAAGAAAGTGAGAGCAATTATTCAAAACAAACCTAAAACAACCAAATAGAACCTGAAAATCCCACATCATGATCGGCTGGTAGGTTTTGTGTTACGTTCTGTCAAAGTTGGCAATTTGCATTAGGTAAAGTTGAGGGTACAAAATAACTTTAAAATTAAAAAAAAAAAAGTGCATGCAATAAAAACTCACCTGCAGAGGGCGGTCCCACCAACACAGCAATGGCTTCCATCAGCAAGACCAAGCCGATGGCACTGGAGAACTTCTCGGTGCCCACAATGGCCATCAGCACCTCAAACTGGAGCGCACCCACCATGCCGTAGGAGACGCCAAAGAAGATACAGAAGACGACTAACGCGGCATAGTCCATGGACATGGAGCCAATCAGGTCTGTGGTGCCATTGAAGATCAAGGCAAAGCTAAACAGGTAGACGCAACGCGGCCGCACCCATTTGAGGCCAGCGATGATGCCACAGGTGGGCCGGGCAAAGATATCAATGAAACCCAAAATGGTCAAGAGCAAGGCTGACTTGGTGTCCTCATTGCCCAGCTCCTTCGCATAGCTCACCACGAAGACTGGTGGCACAAACAGGCCCAGCACCATGATGGAGGCAGCCACAGTGTAAATGAGAAAGCCCCTGTCTTTGAACACAGTGAAATCCAGAAGCTTAGCTTTGGGCTTCTTCTCCACCGCTGCAGCTTCCTGACCCTTGTCGTCCTTTGGCTTCTTTGGGTCCACCAGGGGCCTCATGAGGGCTCCGCATACACAGCAGTTCAGCAGAATCCCACCTAGGATGAGGAAGCCTCCACGCCAGCCATAACTGTACTGTAATACCTGGCCCAGCGGGGACAGACAGCACAGGGCAACTGGGCTACCTGCGGCTGCTAGCCCATTAGCAAGAGGGCGCTTCTCACTGAAGTATCGGTTCAGCATGATGAGGGACGGCTGAAAGTTCAGAGCCAGGCCCAAACCTGAAGATAAACAACAGCCACAACAACTCTGAACATCGATTAAGGCGCAAGCATACAAGATCACATCGGTCGGGAACTGTGTTTGTAAACAAAAGGGTCTGGGTTGAGTTTCCAGAAAAAGATTGCACGCTAAAGCAGGGTTTTGCTTCAGTTATGCAAAACACAAATAACTAATGATCAAGGATATGTTGCTCTGAATAAACACTGCTGCTCAGCAAACATTAATCCAAAGGGTACTTCAAAACTACAGGCACATTCATAAAGGTTTCAATGCTTCACAAAGGTTTCAACGCTCCATATCCAGACTAAGTGCAACCAAAAACAGACAGAGGGGACAGAACTCACCTGTGATGACCCCTGTGCACAGGTAAATATGAATGATGCTTGTAGAAAGAGATGCAAGGACCATTCCTAAAGAGGCGAACAGACCCCCCACCAACATCACTGGGCGACAGCCAAAGCGATTCACCAGAATACTGCATAGAGGACCTGTCAGGAAACAGAGACAGGACACACACACCTCAGCAATTCCCCAGGGCCAGACTAAGAGCATTAAGTGCCCCTGGGCAACAGCACACATGAGGTGGCTCACGAAATTCAGATATGCATCCAACATGAAACAGGCTACGCCACTTTGCTCTTAGTTCATCATTAGTACCCGTTTTTGCTAACGGCAGCGAGCCGTTATAGAGGCAGTGCCTGTCCAGAGCAGCGAGAGTGGCGCCACCAAACTCCTACCCTGGGAACTACACTCAGCATCAAGCCGGCACAGCTTTAAACTGCATCTGAGTATCAGTGCTTTATCTCAAAACCTCTTCTGATTCCTTTTAGTTAGCAAAACTATATTGTACATACATTTATTCTACTTCATATAGTCTATCAGGTCGTTCTTGCTTTTACTAAATGTTGGGATTATTTTAGGTTTTGTGTGTTATTTGGTATGATTTGGTAGATCATTTTTTGGTCTAGCAACACTCAATTTTTCCCCATATAAATCAATTCATCATTTCAGTTAGTGAAAGGTTTCACAGGAACACTATATATACACTTTTGGACAGTGGGGAAAACCTGTATTAGATATTAAATCACATTAACTTGTTAAAAGACATTGATGAATGTGCCTGGGAGGGCTTTTGGGGGGGTTGCCCTGCTTGGTGCCCCCCCGAGGATATGTCGTCCCTGATCACATGCCCAAATGCCCATATGAGTCAGTCAAGTAGTTGATGTATTACCTACATAAAGAGTAGTGTAGAACTATTCATTTGTCACTGGAAGGTTTGAGGACATACCTGTTCCATAGAGCATGGCCAGCAAGATGGAGGAGATCCACGCTGTGTCACTGTAGCCAACGCCAAACTCACGGATCAGCTCCTTGAAGAATACACTCACAGCTTTTGGAAAGGCGTAGGAGAATCCAGTGATGACGAAGCAGCCAAATAGGACCGCCCAACCCCAACCTCCATCCGGAGCTTTCACTCCGCTGGGGCCGTCGTCCACAACCACTCCCCCCATGATCCTCTTTGCTGTTTACCCTGCACCCAGAAGTGTTACAAACAAGGTTAAATGCTTGAGAAAATGAGTAAAAACATGTTCCAAGATTAACAAACATGTTCCAAGATTGCACAATATGCATCCATCTTATAACCACTTATCCCGTCCAGGGTCACAGGGTTTATGATAATATATTAAATTTAGTCTCTGAGTTAGTAAGGGGGCACCTCACAGCTTTTTCCATGCCTGGTACAACCCTGCCAACACACCGTTGTTTGTATGATTAATGTTGCAATTGCTGCAGCTGTAGAATAGTTCCTATAGTCACCAATGGACTGCTGCTGATTTACACCTAACAACCCCACCTAACAACCACCACATGAAAACAGATCACCCCCAATTATTAATGAAGGACTGTGAACAGCCATCCTTTTCTTTTTTTAATATAAACATGTTGGTGATTAATCTTGCTAAGATCATTCTTCTTTTTTAAATATTCAACTCTATTGTTTTTTTAAGTGTCTTTGTGTCTGCATCAGCATTAGGTGTTGATTTCTGTTTGGTGTAAGCTGATTAAATCACACACTGGGAATTGCTCTCCATAAGCCTGACATTACCCCGTGACCCTAAGGCGAATGGATGAATGTCTGACATGAGATTAAGAATTCGAGACACTACTGGCTGCACAACCGATATTTTATTCACTCAGGAACACAATGGAAGCACTTTATTCTGCATGTGTGACCTTAAAAAGAGCGAAACCATCTTGCTGTGAACTTTGCATTGATTCACAGCATAGGCACCTGATAAAGTCAGTTATCCATGAAAGTGAGATGCCCGGATGCTAATTTACCCTGGGCCAACCGCCACACCCCTAAGAAACCATGACCTCTCATACCTCCTGGCCGCGGGCCCTTGGACTGTGGCTTTTTTCTATATTTGAGCAGCTTTCAGGGGCCCGGTGTTACTGGAAGGAGACCCCAGAGAAATCACCCACCCACTGGGGCTGTGAAATGGCCCCCCAGTGCCACACTGGAAGATAATACACCGCTGGCATACAGAGCATTGGTGACGCAGTGCAGGGCCGGCCAGAAGCTGCCTTCCCACTGCACAATATTCACATGGATGTCAAAGTGAGGTCGAGCATGGGCGGCCGTCTCTCTAACTGGCTTATAACACCACTGTACATAATTCTGCCCCCAATCTGGCCCCAAATGTCTTGTGAGTCCTGCTCTGTAACTTATAACCAGAATTCCCCTGTGAGTCAGAACAATCCAACCCTAAAAAATGCAGTGCTATTTAATGACCACAACGTGTTCATTGCTGAATTTTTGTTATTAGTAATATCTACCACTGAGCAAGTTTCTGGAAGAAACAGAAAATCAGTTCCTAGAAAATATATTTTTTTCCATTGTCACCAAATGATTCAGTGTGGGGACATTTCAGCTCCATTTCATGGTTGTAAATTGCACATTTCCCAGGTTAGCGTTTAATTTGAACACTGATCACAAGTTCAATCCATACACCAGTACATGCTGCTTATTCATGAGGAAGGAAAATGCAATAACATGGCTGATCCAGAAGGACAACCCGTCCTTGACTCAGCTTCTCCATAAATCTCTCTCTCTCTCACTCACTCCCACCCCCCCCCCCCCCCCCCCCCCCCCCCCC